TTCCCTCTTTTTTGAGGATAAGTGGAAACTGGATGCTGAACAAACATTTTTCTCCCCTTTTAAAAATAATTTTCTATGAGTGACCATTCATCCAGTAACCTGTGGCATCAGGATCTTTGCATTTGAGAAGTGGCCCAGGTTATTTGTCTGACTCTTGTAAAACTACTTTATTAAAAGCTTGTTAATATTACTAAAAAAATACAGAACTAGAGGTCAAATCCATAAAAGCTGCACAACAACATCTACAAAAATCGCCCTCTTGTTTGACTTTAGCAGAAAATGGACATGTATTTAATAAATGTTTAGCATGACAAGTCAAAGTGATATATGATTTCAGCATTTTTCAGTTTATATCACACTTGAGTTTCATGCACAAAATGAGGGGTACATTTGAAAATTACCTACTTCTGCTCTTTTTATTATTTAATTAGCTGCCTATGCCATGGACTTTGTAATAAAGTTTTAGTTTTGCCCATTCAGGGTAGTCAGCTCCAGGTCAGAAAATTTTTCCAGTCTCCAGGAGGAGATTATGGTTTGTTAGCATTCAGCATATTACTTGCCCTTGCTTGCAATCTCCTGGTTAAATCATTGCGGACACAGCAAGTAAATTGTTCTCATAAAAAAAATCCCATTCATGTATACAACATCTCAGTAAATCACGTCTAGGTTAGTAAAAGATGCTTTACTGCTTAAGTAACCTGACTCTACTTGTGAGCAAAGGAACAGGTTTCAAAAGCACGTTGATGACTGAGGAGTTTAATTCTCAGTGCCCATCAACAGGACTTCTGCATACTCAGGTCTCTTTTGAAAGGTGCTTTTAAAAATCTCACCCCAGCCCTGAAGATTAGAAGCAATTCTGTTTGAAAGAAGCAGCTGGTTTACATGTAATCCTGGGCCCTCCTGAGGGCTAGCCAGGATTCATATAAATGTTTTAAAGCTGTCTGGACTTACTTACACAAAAGATTAAAAATCCTGGTTAAAACTAGGTTAATTCATAGATGTTGAGGACAAATTTCAACTGGTCTAGCCTTGTGCTTTAACTACCTCTTACGCATCCTTTTAAAGAAGAATAGGTCTGGAATGATTTCAAATGATAGAGAAAACAGCATGATTTGCAATAAACTGTTTCAGTAACTAGCTGTGTTTAACAAAACACGGTACTTCTATTCTGTGACACAGTACTTCTATTCCGTGATACAGGAAAATAAAGATTAGGAGAAACACCCCAGCAGATCCTGAACAAAACCACTGTACATGATTCTGCAAGGCTGCCCAAGACCGACATGTTAATTCCACTGCAAGGTCTCTGCATGGTGGTCAGTCTCAATGCAAAGATGCTTGTGGCATCTAGGTTTATACTAAAATTGTGATTTTGCTCTGCCTAAAGGAGTATACTGTAGAACGCAGAACAAGAGGGGCACATAAGTTTTCCTAAGGCATGAGTCACGGTTCAATCACAGGACATTACATACAGGATACCAGTACTAAAGAAATCCTCTAGCAGTGCTTGCAAAACCACCTCAGGCCCTCATCCTCCCATTCTAGTGGCACAGCGTGCCTGAAGCTGTCCATCCAATTCGCCATGCTTGTACTTCCATCCACCAGAAATAGATATAATGCAAAGCTGTGCTTTGAGAATGATCGCAGCTCAGCCCCCATTACCCGAGTGCAAAACTGTGGTGATCCTCAATTATTAGTTTCATCTTTCTTCAGTCCAAAAACACTGAAACAGCTTGGATTCATGGTGCTGAGGTATTTAAGGCATATAAAATCAGGCCCTGCACTG